TCATCGGCGTTTTCCGCAGCTACTACGTTTGTTACACCGGAATTTGGGAATGCCGCAGCCATTGTAGATCGTTCGTATCACGGAGCGGAAATCACGGAAGATTATTATCGATATCCGTCGGATCTGACACTATTCGTGAAATATTTAAAGAATGACGATTAAATATGTATGTTTCCACTGCAGCTTATTATTATGTAGTTGGTTTTTTTCTTATTCAACAAGCAATTGCTAAATGAATTGAACCACAAATTAGTGATTGACTTGTTATTCAAAAATTAATTACTATAGCAGGAGTATGTTTGGTTGTGGGTATTGGATTTTATTTAGATGGTCTTATCACTTCTTCGCTGAAAACTCCGCTACAAAGATTAAGTATTAAAATTGAAAATGCTAATATAGATGAAAAAATAAAAAAAAAAATTTGCTTTCCAAAACTCAGCAAGTAAATGAACTTTTTAAAGAAACCTTAAAAGATTTGGATTATTAGCCGTGGTTGGTATTTTAACTAAACTAATAGAAGCCTACTGAAATCAACATATACTATCTTATTTAAGTTATGGAGTTCCTATTGCCGGAGCTCTCAAAATAATTTGAGACGTAGATAAAACATTAAAAAAATTAAATTAAAGAAATAGAGAACGAAAATGTTAATAATAATGAAATGTAGTATAGGTCTCATCAGAGTGACCAAAGAATAGGTTATACTCATAAATGGCTTTGGGTCCGAGTATTTTCCTCCCATGCAATCACTCTGGTGCATTTAGTATTATTTATATTTCAAGAGCGCGCGTTCAATAATCGAAATAATAAAATTTATGCTTACGAAAAATTGAATTATTTTTACATGTTTGACTTGTTGATTGCAATTGTGTCAAAGTAGCGAAATTTGATCGAGCAGTCTTATCGATCTTTCGTTGACAGGTCGCTCGATCAGTGGAGACGTTGGTGGGAATAGGAAGCCTTTACGTTAAATTTATTTCCCTTACGTCTCTTCTAATTTTCGTTTCTTTCTTGGTTCATCATAAGTTGGCGTTAATTCTCGTTTAGTAGTTATGATTTTCCGTTCTTCTTGGTAAATTTCATAAGTGATTTTTTCTTGATCTAGATATTTCTCAAGAATTTTAGTGTCATTCATTTTAAAAACATAAGGCGCAATTTTCTCTCCTTGGGCTTTCTTTAGAATGCTTCTAAAGTGCTGTAATTCTTGGGTTCCATAGTGGATTTAATGTAAATTAGTTTCATATTAATATTTTTATATATAGAGATAATCCTATATTCATCACATTATGATTTATATTCCTCACATTCTGGTATGATAAAGTGAGCATTAAAATTAACAAGTCCATAAGTTATGAATAAGCACTGTTATTACTCAAAACGTCATCAGTCACATTGGTCAATTTTACAGCCACATCATAATCAGTCTCTCATTTATAGAATGTTCACTTTGTCTGGTTTTGTTGCAGCATGCCCCATTTTCCCTCCCGGTATTTTCTGAAAATCCGCGACAGAGTTATCCTGTCAACGGATTCGTTTCGTAGAAAGTGTTCTAACGTCATTAGTCGTGAATCTTTCGGAGAGAGGGTTGATTTTGATAACCCCCCTTTTAAATACTTTGGGTAGGAGTTGAGGAAGGTGGCTTTTGCTCTTCAAAAAAATAACTGGGAACAGGTGAAAAGGCTTAATAATGAGACGGTGGAGAGTGAAGAGATAAATAATCTCTGCCGCTGCGAAGGCAATTAAAAAACTAGGGATTGGAGAAAAAAATAAAGAATAGAGGAGAACAACTTTTCTTAGCAAAACATAAATAAGTTTTATAGTATGCCAAAAAACCATTATTTATATATATTGTCAAAATTGCAAGAATCTTGCAACTTTTCCAGTGTATATTAATATGTACACAAATTGAGTAGTATAAAGTGATATTCTTACAATTTGCTGGCCCATCTAGCCTTCTGCTTACTTCCAGGCTCTAGCTTGTGAATGATAGCTGCCAATTCTTCTCTATTACTATCTGTTGTGTCATAGTATGAACACAAACACTTGTCAGAAGATGAATAACAAACAATTTTATTGAATAAAAGCTTTTTGAATAGTGCAAATGTTTTTTGCTTGTGGTTATAGTTAGAAGAAACCATGTACAGTTGTTTTGTGTACTTTGAACATATGTGTTTTTGTTTCACTGAAAGTGAATATGAATGAATTCATTTTGCTTTTATACATGATTTATAACATATAAATAGGTCTAAAGTCTAAAAATAGTCTGGATTTGCACATGATCCACAGCTAAGCAAAGCCTCATACTCACCAAATATCATCAGCTATCTTCCAATCACATGAGCCTTTTTTATATGATCACATGTTCACTTTATAAATCATAATAATAAATAATAATTAACCTCTACGATAACCACATGCATGCCCGCTTAGTTCAGCTTATGTTATAATACTTTTCGTTCAGTCAATTATCCACCCTACGCAATATGTAACAATGAAGTCACGAGCCGACGCTCCCGTTCTTATACAAGAGGTAATGTTAACACAACGTCTTTCACTCTTAGCGAATATGCTCATTTACAAACAGCTTCCCTGTAACACCTAAACACGATTTTCTTAACGAATTCCATCGAATTAATAGATTCGTTATACAGTGTGTAAAAAAATTGACACTTACGTGACCATAGCAATCAAACGTAACTAATAACCTCATTTGATGACTAAAAATGCGGTAGATTTATTAACAAATTTAATAAGTTATTTTTTTCAATGAGTAATTCACACGCTTCATCGATTTACTAAATTAACATGGTTTCTGAAATAGTATTCCATTGTTCCGTCAAGTTCCTGTAACAAACTTGTCCAAAGCAGGATTATCATTCGTACCCTGTTCGTTAGGTTGAGGCATTTTACATGCTTCAGTTCTGCACCAGACCGGATCGTTTTTCGGTTGCTTACACGTCGAACAAAGACCATACATGTTCCGTCGAAGAGTATAATCGCTGGCGTAGACTATATAGCATTCGCGCGTCGCAGGGTTCCGAGTGAATCCAAAAATAGACGTGTTGTCCTTCCGTGTTATGCACGGATGGGTTTTGCATAGCTTTTTGAGAAATGAGACATGACACGTATTGTAAGATTAATGATGCTTATAGCGTCTTCTTTTATATACACCAGTCGCTCTTTTGTTAATCCCGTTTCGCGCTCAAACCCTCACGAGAAAATTCTCAAAAATTAACATACCTCATCAATAACTTCTTGTCCGAGATCGGATATTAAATTCAACGTAACCCTCGTATGTCTCTCTCTGGCCTTGTGCCTGTGATATTGACAGTCTCTTTTTCCATAAACCCACACACCTCCATACGCGGTACTTCCATACTCATTCTCTAACAACTGCGAGACTTCTAAATGCTGGTATGGTATCCACTCGAGGAACGTATCTTCCCAGACAACAGCATTATTCTGAGTAGATCTTATAAATTCATCCAAAACATCGCTGCCGCTCGTCCATGCGTCACTCGTGTGAGGCTCGAGACATGTACGAGCCATACACCAGACAGGATCTATTTTGGGGTTTAAACAGGTGGGGCATAAACCGTAGATCGATTGGAGTTCGTCATAGTCGCTATGGATAACAAGCCGATATTCTTCTGTTTTGGTGTCGATTGTGAAGCCGTATATCGTGCGATTGTCTTTGCGGAGAATGGTTGGGTATTGTTCTGCTAACTTGAGTAAAAGGTTATGGAGATTGTGAATGACTTGCTGATATTTTTCGAAACAGGTCAATTATTTCTCATGTCAAATATTTAGCGGTACCTCGTTAAGAAAACTATCTGTGATACTCTCCGATGTCCCGAGTGTTTTCAATATGACTTTGGAAGGAATTCCCCTTTGTCTCATAACAAAATACCTTGGACCATCCAACCACGTTGCCAAGTAGTTTCCTGTATCTTTATCGTCTTGTAATGGTGTCACATTTTCTAATCTGTTGGATGGTATCCACTCAAGGAATCTGTCATCAAAGTTCTTGACAATTCTTTGCGATTTCTTAATGAATTTATCAATTGCTAGATTGCCACTTGACCATTGCACGCGTGGATGTGGTTTCTTACATGCGTTCGTGCCACACCATACATAGTCTATCTTTAGTTTATTGCATTCTGGACAGAAGCCGTAAAAGTCTCTCATATGATTGTCCGGAACCATGTTGATAATGGGATTATGCGATATGTCGTGAATACTCTATTTTATATAAATGCTTTTCGTTTTATCGATGTTTTTTGAATGTTTTTTATCTTTATTATAACTGACAATTAAATACTAATGTCCCCGGATGAATGCTCCAAGTCTTACTTTAAATTTTTTCTCTATTTATTCTCCTGTTTTGTCATACTATCCTTGCAGATCTCCCACTAGTCCATAGTAACAAAGAATCGATCCCAATTCATTCTCTCCCCCTTAATATTAATACACTAAAATCAATATTCAATTTCTATTGTTGAAGAAATTATCAACTGGACGGTGACACGACATAGAAATTCAGCCGTTCTCGACTATATTGGGCTTAGTTTTACCAAAGAGCATGTGACAAGACACATAGTGGAAGATGCGGGGAACCCGTGAATGCATGTGCCAATAACATCTACCATATCACGTTTCTTACTTTTAAGCAAAGTGCCTTCGATTTGTGAGTTATTGAAATCTACTAGCCTGCAATTTCATCGTTTAGACTTGCTCTTCTTTTCCTCTCTTTCAATTGTCTTTTAACAATTTTAATTATGAGGATTATTGTCGCGAGATTGCGGAATAAGATACTAGCCCAAACCGGATCTCTGTTAAGATTGGGCCAATGAACATAATCCTACGCATATATTCAGGGGTTAACATCTCCGCATCGAAGATAGTAGAACTCAACATTACTAAGATATTAAAGCTGTGTTAAATTTTTGCTTTCATTCTGTAATATGTTCTATTGTTAATCTCAATCGTTCAGATAAACCAACAACGCGCTCAATCTTGACTATTGGGATGCCTACCGACTCGATGTCCCCCATATTAAAGATTTACTATCTTCAATCAAAGATTCAAGAAATAATGACTCACGTGATTAATTCTGGCGATAATAAATAAATTACGGCTTCCTCTTTCTTGCCTAACTATAGGATTGAGGAAATAAGAAATGTTAGACTAATGCATTGAGTCATATTGAAACACGATAGACAACGTTTAGTTAATTATATCAGATAGTCTTGATCATTTGTTAATTAAACTGGGAGCGTGGAACAGTGAAAGAAATGACAAGGTTATTTTACACGGAGAATGAGTTGGAACATTCTTCTGTTCTTCTCTTTCTCCGTCGTCTTCTCCTCTCCTGCTATCCACTACTCTGCAATTATTCGTTGGACAGTTGTCAGATCCTAAAAGGCGCTACCCCACAGGTTGGGTATATTCAAGTATAAAAGCCGGAACATTTTATCTTTCCAGCTAAGAAGACATTATTGGAGACACAAGTCACAGACTAGCTGTCGCGGGGTAACAGAGAGTAACAGTTATATACCACGATTCACCTCCTGGTTTTATCCATGACGCAGCGTAATAATAGTAGTAGTAGTAGTAATAGTAGTAGTTGCTGACCATTTCAATCGTCTCTCTTAAAAACTTAATTATGGGATTTTCAATCAATTAGATGAACGTTGCAAAGTCTTTGTCTCTCCCAGTATATTATGAGCTTTTAATTGAAAAAGACGCCAGACACCAAATTTACTATTCTGCCAGAAAAACCAATACCGCCGTAATTGTCATGGGGGAGTCGTTGTACTGACTCGCTGTATATCATCTCGACTTGCTGTGGGTGTCGCGATTGTTGTTTCCTTGCCTTCAAGTCAGATGTGAATTTCAGTTGACTGTTGAATAGTAGTAGTTGTTGTTGTTGCTTGAATGCGCGTATTGATTACGATGGCTGTTGCTTGCCTAATCCAAGTGGAAGATTAGCCGACAGAAAGAGGCAGCCTCTGTTTATATAGCCAGTTGGCCAAATGACTTGTGTTTTGGGTGATTATCATTCTTCTTGATTATCAGCGGTGATATAACAAATGGCATGTGTGTAACTACATACTCGTAAAATGGACGATATTAATATAAATGGATAAAGTGGTTAGCGGAACGTCACCTTTGTGATATTAAATTTCGCGTCATTTCTGAACAAAGTAATCGTTCAATCATTATAACTTTTTGAAGTGAACTTGGATACCCCCGTTTTGTTGTCTCAATAGTTGCCTTAATTACGCAAAATTTGCATACTAATACGATTATGCAAAGGCAAGCTTGGCGTGCTAAGCAGTTAGATGCTGCAGGATCGACAGAATCTTTCCCTGAAAATGACCAAGGCCCAAGCGCGTGCAAGATAGGAACATTGTCAGCGTGAATGCATTTGAGCTAGTAACCCTAATAATGCAGGCATTAAACTGGATAAGAGAATTGACATACCAGCAGACAAAAGGTTCAATAGGAGCTAATTCTCAAATGATCACTTTGGGGCACGACAAGTTATACCATCTGTGGCTTTAATTCCCTTATGTTTGTGAAATTATGAATGTGTGATGATATCACCTAATCAGTAAAGCATAATAATAATGAATCATGAGAAGTTATTGGACTTTTTTATTAATCACATTCTTGGTACATACTTGAAGTATAATTATAAGACAAATTGTGTGCCTCGTCTATCAAAGCCAAGACTTTAACTAATTTCAAATTCTAGAACATACCTATACAAGATTATATGCTAAACAAGACCAGTTGGTAATGCTGTAATTTCAAGTTTTTCATAATAATAAATTAATATTTAATTAGAATGCCAAGCGCATTAATGTGTTGTAATTCAAGTTATACCCACATCCTCATATAGATAAACAATGTCCTGAATTATGTATCGCATTACTGGCTTCACAATCTTACGACTGCGGGTTTCCATAAATGTTCATCATCAGATCCAACATCTGATTCTCTATTTCCTCATCATTATCATCAACTTCATCTTCTCCATCATCATCCTCTTCTCTGTGCTGAAAAACGTCAGTAACATTGCCTTCATAGTCATCATTTGGCTCTTGCTTTATGTCAACATCTAAGAACATGCATTGCTTCTGAATAAGTAAGTTAACAATGACAGTCATACATGTTGTCATTTTGAAATACCTTCATCCAACATCATAGGATTATCTTTGTCTTCATCTTCCGACTCGTCCTCTAATCCACGAAGAAGACACATGGCTTCGGCTATTTCAATATCCTGAGCCTGTCAATTTGATACCCCATGTCAGCTCACTCAATTAGCTAATCATTGAACAACGGCGGCACTTACCACTGCACCTTTTGCGTGCCCTTGCTTAACAACAGCACTCGGTTCGTCCGTTGTCCCCCCCGCAACATTCAGCATTTGCACCAGTACGGTCTCTTCAGTACGTAGAGCATCTAACTGTGATTTGAATTTATTTACCAACTGTACTAGTTCCTGCTCTTCTTGTATAAGAACATTTTTTACAATGTCCCAGGGATTGATTAACATTGCAAGTGTAACGTATTATTGACTAAACGTAAATATATAAACAGCTGCGCCAATTAATAAAAAGCCGCAGCTCATGAAATATTGATTACGTCATAGCAAATATCGCGCGATGGTCCGGTGTCGTTAGAGTTTACATAATCCTAATCTCGGCTACGCGCACTGTAGATCTTACGGTAAACAAAAAGGACACTTCTCCCACCGTTATTTTAAAATCGCTTTAATATTGACCGACACATAATAGGTCACAATGCGACTCTCAAGATTTTGAACGAACCGAAATAATTACGCCAAAGCGAAATGATGTTTGAACGTTCAAAAGTTTCCAAGTTCAACGATGGTCCGCAAACCGTTTGGAGAAAAATGCAGAACTTTTGTTCCCACGATTAAACATGGAGGCTGGGGCGTAACGGTATGCGGGTAAACTGTATCAGTGAGATAATTTTAATGTAATGGAAATTTTTAACAAGATAACGCTCGGATAAACCAAAACAATGTTACAATTGGCTATCTTCAATCGCCCGATCTTAATCCCATTAGAAAGGCGTAAAAATGAAGGGCATTGCCAAAAACTAACGTGGGGATTTTTCAATGAATACATGGGAGCAAGTCTCAAAATCCGTATAATCTGATAAAGATTATATTTAAAAGTGAAAGACCTCATTAATGTATATTAATATTGATACATTATATATAAACTAAAATTTATGCCCAATTATTATGTAAGTTTAATTGCTGACTCACTGCATGTAAACTGCCACTTCTCGTCTTGATTGACGCGCTACAAAAAGTATGTCAGCAAATATACACCTTACTTATTTTCCATATGATTGTGCTAAACTTTATTGGCCATAATGACTGTATATATTAATATAAAAACCCAGATCTAACAAAAAGTGGCTTACAATTATGTATGCAGGAGAGCGTTTTTTTTTGGCTGAGGCATAATTAACTAGATTTGTCATATCTTGGCCCAATAATAATAATATTTCCTTGTTGGTATATATATGCTTTCTGCCCTCGTAAAATTTCGTCGCTGTCGTGTTATTTCTGGATGATTACTTTAATTTTTTTACGATTTGGACAGTTTTTGATTATTAATCCAAATACTTAATATTAAACCCTTTACATCACTTTGGTTCAGTATCTGTCTAACTCATTTCTGGTGTAATAAAAATCTCAAATAGCGTGAACCTAAATAAGCAATAGGGATTACATCAGAAAATAACAGGTATCATTTTACATCACGCCAAACTTTCCTTAAATTAATTGTTACAACAATGCAATGTTAAACTTGGTAAAAACGCCACATAATAATATTCATGTTTAGGGTTGATAACTTGTATCTTTGCATTCTGTACCACGGATTCCATTGTTAAACACCCCTTGGAGAACGTAATTTTAACTCAGCGCGTAGCTCCTTGCTGCAGATGAGACCATTGGTATTTGAATTGCTCGTAGCGCTGCTAATTACAGGGCTATCTATATTTAGTACAATCAAATACAGATACCGCCCAACACCAGCGAATCAACGTGCCAAATGTTCAGGCTACAAACTGACATCTATATCCTTGACTGATCATGGTTTAAATGGGTCGCTCACACTTGCCGGTGAACCATGCAATGTTTATGGTAACGATATTTTTAATCTTGCGTTGGAAGTGACGTACGAAACGGACGACATACTGAACGTCAGAATATACGACACCGAGGAGCGTCAATTTCAAGTACCAGATTACGTGCTACCGCGAAAGCACTTCCATAAAGCAAGGAATCCTACATATGAGTTCAGTTATACGGAAAACACATTCGGTTTTGTAGTAAAGAGGAAAAGTAATGGGGAGGTTCTGTTCAATAGCACAGGTGTGCAATTGGTATTTGAAGATCAGTATGTGAGCTTTGGTAGTAAAGTTCACGACATTATGCACGTTTATGGACTGGGTGAGAATGTGGACAATTTCCTCAGACCGCGTGATAGCCTCTCTACTTTATGGTAAAAAAAAAAAAGAACAAATAATAACTATTAGAATGCTTGTATTTTAAGAGTATTTAAAATTTGAGCATGTTCTCTCTCAATTCTTTTAGGACACGTGACACACCATCTCCACCACGTCAAAACATTTATGGCTTTCATCCGTTCTATCTCGATTTGCGCGACTCGGGTCGCTCTCATGGTGTTTTCCTACGCAATAGCCACGGAATGGACGTAGTTCTCAAGCCAGTGGCAAACGCATCCAAGATCGAATATCGCATTCTGGGTGGTGTTATTGATCTGTACTTTATTCTTGGTGGTGAAGATGGAAATCCGAAAAGTGTTATAGAACAGTACACTGATATAATTGGTAAGCCACACATGCCTAATTATTGGGCGTTAGGATGGCATCAGTGTCGGTGGGGATACGGAACGATTGAAATGGTTGAGGAAGTCGTCGAGAACTACAAAAAAGCAGAAATACCACTCGAGGTTATGTGGACTGACATCGACTATATGGATCAATATAGAGACTTTACGTTACATCCTACCAACTTTCCTTTATACAAAGTACAATCATTCCTTACCAAGCTTCATTCTCAGAATCAAAAGCACGTTTTTATTGTCGATCCGGCCATCTATCATGGTGATGATTACGCACCGTATAAAGAAGGTGTCGATTTGGACGTGTTTATCAAAAACCGTGATGGATCTATATACTACGGTCGAGTATGGCCTGGATTTACGGCATTTCCTGATTGGTTTGCTCCGAATACTCAGTTATGGTGGACTAGGCAATTTCAGAGATTCTTGGAGGATGTCCCGGTAGATGGAATATGGATCGATATGAACGAGCCAGCATCGTTCTGTTTTGGTTCATGTGGATCCGGTCATCCGCCTGGCGAGCATCCTCAGGGTTCGGTAGACGATCTCGTGATTAACCCTAACGATCCCGTGTTTGAACCCGGTGTACCCGACTATAATTTACTAAATCCACCGTATAAAATTCATAATGGATATGAATTTTTGTCTACTCAGACTGTGGCTACTAACGCAACACATTGGAACAACCTCACCGAATACCAGACGCATAATCTATACGGACATATGGAAGGGATCGCAACATACAAGACACTAACTACTATCAATCCAAAAACAAGGCCGTTTATCTTGAGTAGATCGACGTTCCCCGGATCGGGAACATATGTAGGACATTGGTCCGGAGACAACTGGGCATCATGGCCGTACTTGTATTATTCTATTACAGGCATACTGAACTTCCAGATGTATGGTATTCCATACGTTGGGGCCGATGTGTGTGGATTTAATAACCATACAGACGAAGAGTTGTGTAATAGATGGCATTCGCTTGGTGCATTCTATCCTTTTGCCAGGAATCACAACGCGCATAATACAATAGCACAGGAACCATACATATGGAAATCAATCACCGAAGCCGCAAAAAAAGCATTGCATGTGAGATATACGCTTCTTCCATACTATTACACTCTATTCGCTGCTGCCTATGAGAAGGGTACGCCTGTGTGGCGAGCATTAATGTTTGAATTCACAGATGATCATACAACATGGGATATTGATAAACAGTTTATGATCGGTCCGGCCGTATTAGTGACTCCAGTTCTCGACTCTGGACGGGTGGACGTGAAAGGATATTTCCCAAAAGGAATCTGGTATGATTGGTATACTCATGAGCGTGTTTATGGGGCAAATCGGATGATACTCGACGCTCCACTAGGTCATATTCCTGTTCATATTCGTGGTGGGAGCGTGATATTGACTCAGCGTCCTGCCTACACTACTACCGAATCAAGACAGCAACCGTTTGAATTGATTGTTGCCTTGGATGAGACTGGGCATGCAAGCGGGGAAGCGTATCTTGATGATGGTGTATCGTTAGAACCGGTCGAGTCATTACGGATACGTTTTAGTGTTTGCGGTAATAGGCAAGTAGTAATGAGATCGGTCGGATCATATAAGCCTAATGCCAAGTTAGAGAAATTAATTATTATGGGGGTTGGATTGGATTTAGTTGTTGATTGTGGTTATATTGATATGAATAAGAATGCAGTTATTACATTTTAAAGAAAATAAATAACATGAAATAGTTTATTGTACGTAATTGTGGAAGATGTGCTTGTTAACAATTTTCATTGTTACCGGCGAATATGTCCAAGTATAAGAAAAATGATATACGTTGCCATTGCATGAATTTTCACGACAGTCAACACTAAGCAGTCATGGATGATACACAAAAGTGAAGAAATTGAATCAAGTGGTTTCGCATGTTATAGCGAATTGGAAGCAATATTGTGATCCTGAAGCTGCTGCTAGTCTTGCTCATGTAGTCGGAATAAGAGCAAAGCAAGACTACAAAAAGCAACCGAGATGCTGTTGTTGCTGTCTCCAATACTTGCAATTACGGAAGAAATAAAACTGCGCGAGAACCCGGAGACGAATTACAGGCTGTCCGTGATGTTATAAACGGAAATAAATGTATCGATCCTCTTGAGGAGTGTTAAAGACTTTAATAATGGTAATAGGTGGATGTGTATATATAACGATAAAGATCATTATCTTTCGGGTATAATAATTAGTGACTTACTTGATCAATATGAAAATAGAAAAGCTCGACCCTGTTGAAAGGGTGGTTTTGAATATTGACGAATACAAAAATATAGAGATTTAACGGCCTTAATAGTAAACCTCAGATCAGGGCAATGAAGTTATTAATCTTTTACTTGGAAACAAGATGAATCGAATGTTTAATGGAAAAAAAGGTGGAACGCGTTATATTAAAAATGATGATTTGGTTTTGATCGGGCATCATATCAAAGAGCCGAAATATAGATACTTACGTGATTGTTATAGAATAATTGCAAATAGTCCAAAGCCATATTATGAGGACCTTACATTCCGAGCAATGAAGCCTAATAAAATACCAAATATATATGAATTCTCTCCTGAAAGAGGAACAGTTAAAGATGTTTGTAATGAGCCTAAAAAAATACAAGATGAAATTGCCCCATACTTTACTGAAGGACGCCACTCCAATATTAGCTCCATATATGTTATACAATCATTCTTCGATTGTAAAGTAAGAAAAAATTCAGATTATATTTTACTCTTTAATGGAGCAGGAACATATGATGAGCTAGTAAATCTTGCCCGGCGATATACAAAAAATTGCGTAATGTTGTTGATATACTTGATAAAAATTTACAGGGTCGGGAATTTATTGTGATTGACCGGACTAGGGCAAAAGAAGACCCTCTATGTATCAGAAAAGGTTGGGACCAAGCACTTGATCTTTCTAATGAGTAGGCTCGAAGAGCCATTGCTCCGCAATAGAGCGTGATTCACAATGATGAAATAATAATTATTTTTTCCGTTCTTTTATTAATACAACAATATAAGTATATCCTACTCGCCACTTCTATTAAGAAGCTGTCTGTATCCAGCCGTGATTGAAATTGGGGTGGCAAGCGCGATCTATTATCAACACTAGGGATTTTTGTGTCAGATGGAAATGGGTTGATATATAAAAATGTTTGGAAAAGATATGTGTCGTTATCTACTGTTTGTAACACATTCTGCGTCAACTTTTCTGGCTTCGAGTAATATATTACACTTCCAATTGTTGGAGACGCTTACTAAATCTATCTCGTAATTGGTTTTTTTTCTACCTATTCAATCGTATGTAATATAATATTCTTCATATTTACTGTTATGAAAGAAACCAAGCATTTGTGTGTTGTTACATTTTTTATACATTGCAATTTTCTCAGCTCTCCACTGATTGAGTTTGAGGATTTTTCACTTTACGACTAGTTAAACAGATCCGGTTCATTTGCCCGACAAAAAACTACCCAAAAAGGATAACTTTAAAATAATGCTGGTAAATATTTGTCGGGCAAATGACTGTCGGGCAAGTAACTGTCTGGCAATTGAACGGCTCCCATCGAAAACAGAACTATCTTTTGGATATAATGCTCTTTCAAGAAAGTTCAGCACCCAAAAAGTAATGGCGAGGTATATATTTTACCGTGTCATACAATTTTGTGACACAATTAGCTGCCGCTAGAACATATTAGGTCACTGCTAGTACGCGTAGAATCTCGCATTACTGTTTTTGTTACTTTGAGCCAAAACTATATTGATCAATAAAGCATATTACCTTCGCAAATGAAAGAAAAACTCTATAAAATTTAACCGTGAGGTAGTTAAGACATTATGGAAGCAAGGCAGCCGAAGCCCAACAGAAATTTCTCGGAAAACCAACGTTCCTCTTCGCTCCTGTGAACGATACTTCGTAAAAATGGCAAAATTTCGGACATTCACCGCTCTGGTCGCCCTCGTAAAATTACTCCTCAAATGCGACGCCAGATTGACAGAATCGTAAATTTGAACCATTTTGTCACAGCGGCTGAAATTAAGGCTCGACTCGAAGAAACCCACCCAGGTTTGGAAGCTGGTGAACAGACTATTCGTGACGAGCTTTCCAGGCTTGGCTACTTTGCCAAGACGTGTCCCACTTCTCATGCTTAGCTTGGTCGAAGTCAAAAAAACCCATTGCACCAATGGTAAAACATCCATTTAAACTTCATGTGTGGGGGGCAATTTGTTCACGTGAGAAAGTTGGAATGTATACATTTGTGGAGAATATGGATCGACATTTGTATAAACGAATTCTTAATGATAATGCAACCAGTATGTATGGGAATCAACGCTGGATTTTCCAGCAAGATAATAATCCCAAACATACTTCAAAGGAAGTTCGTACAGACCTTAATTAAAACTGCCTGGCCGCGTTTTGCCTTGGCCGTCATATAGCCCAGATATGAACCCGATTGAGAATATTTGGGCAATTCTCAAGCGAAAGGTAGAGAAAAAGGTCAAGGCAATGGTGGCAAAGAAAATAAAAATAACACAGGCTGCTTTTATTACATTAGTAGAGGAGGAATGGGAAAATATCTCTGATGAGATAGTTCTTTCATGTATTACCAGTATGCCAGATCGCATTCAAGCGTGCATTGACGCTGAAGGAGGGCATACTAAATACTAAAATTTTACTGGTATATACCCTATCTAATTACACTGTAAAAATAAAAAATTGGAAACCAACAATTATGTAAAAACGTTTTTTATAATAAAAAAACACCCCGTCATTACTTTTCGGGGGACTGTATACACCTTGAGAAGGGAATGCATACAAAGCGAAGCACAAATGTTATACACGTACATTGAACAGCATTGGTCGGTTTATATCTTTATTCTGTATTAATAAAACGCATGTCTTTACTTTTGCCACATATCATTGAATATTTGTATTCTAGTTTGACGTTTGAAAAGTTACAGTATGAATCAAATCTGACTTCCAAAAAGAGTTTGTGATAATTACAATATTATTGTACAAGTTGAACAATTATCTTTATTATTCCAGTGACTAACAATAACCCAGTTCATTGACACCAATAATAAAAAATGTTGTATGCTGCGATAAGAAGAACCAGGAGAAGAAATACCATCAATATCAAATTAGTTGATTAGCTTGGAAACAAAAATCTATAATGTCATGTCATTTTAAGACAGTATCTCGTAGATTAATAAGCACTTGTATATTAGTCATTGCTTATAATAAATAAATTTTACATTTTTTATTGAGCTCAACAACAGGCTATTCAAGATTATCGTATAAGACAACTGCATCTACCTTATTCAAGCGGTGGTGGTGCAGTCGTTGTTGCTGTTGAATTATCATTATCATTTTTCTTCTTGTCGACATAACCTTTGACCATCATGGCCGATTTGGCAAACATTACTCCCAATAATAATGTCATAATGATGGTTTGCAAAGCAAATGCAACACTTTGAAGAGCCGTACTCGTACAAACGTTTGAATACGGAAGTAGTAAAATAACAACGGTAGACTTCAAAAACGAAATGCTTATATTTAACTTGTTCATCAAATCCGTGATATAAGGCTTGTAAAGCACTAGCGAAAAGAAATAAAATAATTCGGTAATAAGCAAGAAAAGGCCTTGCACGAGACCGTTTCTCCTCCCTGCTCCAATGACGATAGCTCTAATAAAGTCATAACCAATCGTAATCACGAAGAACCAAATTCGGGTCGGTTGTGACTCTGAACTGTCTCGATATTGAGTGTAAAACGCGCCCAATACGATTTTGTGAACTGGCGATTCAAATGCTTCCCGATTGTGACGCATGTCATTGATAATTCTGCGGATACAAACTGACACTGTTCCGATAGAGATTACTACAATACAAATTGCAGCAAGAAACAATAAAAACCAGCAATCATGGCTAAGAGATAATTGATAGGCGGCAAAAAGGGTCAAAGGATAGTAAAACAAGAGTAGCTGGATGGTAGGACAAAAGAAAAATAAATAATAAAATTCCGTTTTAAATTATCAAAGTGCACGTTATTTGCTAATTACCAGACGTAACATTCCGCCTAAACGGGTAAACAAACTTAGACGTTTGGTTTAAATTTTTACATACAAAACAACATAATTTTTTTACTTACCAAGTATTAAAAAGTGGATATTCTGCGCAGCAGTTTTCAGGATGGACCATTTCTCCCATAAAGACTTGAGTAACCGTGCCAATGATCCAACCAATAATGCGACAACAAGCGCAGCCAACAGTGCAAAGCAAAATATGATTAATACCATAAAAAACAAGTCGTTTCCCGGGATTCCCACTGCCGCGCCAAAATCTGTAAACCCAGAAGACGGTGGGACCGAACTCAAATATTGGCTTTCCGATATATGACATATTCCTTCTCGTATTTTGTTATCTGCAGCGTTTGATATAAACCCAGCATGAAAACTTTGTGGTGGTATACCACAAGTCCATGCAAGTTTAGACGCCACACCTCGATAACTAAAGTTTAAATTTAGACTATTTAACAGACAAGGTATAGAAAGCAAAGCGGTGGTCACAAGAAATTGAACGGCACGAAATACATCATATATAGATGGCGACTGTGCTGCCAATGGAGGTGTTATCAGAATAGCCGCTTGCTCATGGCTCAACTCCTTAGAGTCTGTATGTTGAAAATGTGATGTCGTCGCTTTGGCTTGCATAATGTTGCTCGCTTGTAGCACTGCGATGATCAATATAGCACCCGCGCCGGTTATTATTGGAACGTTGTACAAGTACGGGAGGTTCTTTGTCAATGAGCTGCTAGGAACGGGAGAAATACTGGGGATCGAAAAACCGGTCGACGAACTAGTCGGATAACCACCTGCACCACCACCACCACCTCCTCCTCCTCCACCTGTACCAGTCGGACTAGTCGGACCACTTGTAGAAGTCGGAGGGTTCTCAAATTGAGGACAGAGAGAGTTGGGATGAGGATTAAGGATAATTCTGGCGCAACCAGCACCATTATTTATCAGAATTTGCATAGAAAAGTGGTTGTCCGGGAAAACCGTGTGAAGGGCGTTAAATGTACCTTGTCACATAGTATTGAAAACTTGTCAATTGATAGCGAATTGAAATTACATTGGTATTCGGTCGAACGGAACTTACCAAAATTGTTTGCCATATTAAGAGAAATTGTCAATGTATTTCCTTTAACTGTACAAAAATCTTGAAATGTTGGTGTATCACAAGTCAGGGATTGTCCGGAAACACCAGGTGGATCAGCACAGGGGTTACCGTAGGTTATTTGTACTAAAACGAGATTTTTTCGTTATGAATTTATCAATTAATAATAATAAATTACACTAGTATGAATTAATTACTTGTAGGTTGCGTTAAGCCCCCGGCTGCTTGCATAGTAAGAGTCTCGACGAGGGCAGGATACCCGGGTGTGGTTGAAGGTGTGAGCTGAAGTTGAAAGCTCGAAAATTTCATAGATCCTCCGCACTGTACCATGTTCGTAGGAATATCCACAGGTGCGGGGACGTCTTGAGTCAAGTCAGTCTCATAGTATCTTTTTAGCAAGTGGGTAGACGAATTCAACGGATTGGTCGAAACTTGTATCGTATAGAACAACAGTGTAATTACGAGATAAAAATACGATCCAACAGTCCAACTTTTTTGCATTTTGCGTGAATTGCATCAAGGAATAATGCAACGATTCTCTACATGTTAATACGGATTCTTATAGAGACTCAACCTTTAAATCACATGACGTTATCGAAACTTGGCTCGAACACAAAACTCGCCATACTGTACAATTAATAACGTTGTCTCACGTTTAACAGACGATTGCGCAACAAAGTGGAAGCATTGCAAAAATTCGACTATAAGTATTCTCTTTATAAGTAATGATTGGCACCACCATTGTCGAATACATTATTTTATCTATAACTTGTAAATGCAATTACATATGAGAGCTAAAACTAAAGGTTATTTTCTGCATGATAATTGACATTTAATTCTGCCATGTCATGCTCTGTAGTAAAAAAAGAAAAAGAAAAAGAAAAAGAAAAACTCTTTTTCGAAGGCTGATTGTTGTGCAATATGCGCTTTATCCAGCAATACAATTTCCCAATAATGGAATTCTCTATAGTGATTGTGACTTTCTAAAAGAATAAATTTGTTGTTGCCAAACCGTGAGAACAGGTATTAGTATCGAGTTTTACAAATATGGGATAATCTACAAAAAAATTTTGCTGTGCGACTCGCGAGAAATTCTCATCAAAATTTCGCAGGTGACTTTGTTATTGTGATACATCTATATTCTAGCAGATAAGTCGGGCGGAGATTTTGTCTTGTTTATTGAGACGTCCGACTTGTCGAGTTTAAATATAGACAACAATAATAATAGCAACAATGTAAGCGGAAACAGTTCGAGATAACTGATAGAATGCAACTGTATTGGTGTTCCTTGTACTACTACTATTACTACAGTAAGTATCTATTCTTAACATTTCTATTTATCTCTCAAAAATCATGTGGTGCGATCTTATCGAGTGTTATTTATATAAACGGGTTTATCGCACTTTCAATATGTCGGACACACACAAAATTGCCTCTGTATATCGCATTTCCCTATATGGACGTCACAACTTTGTAATTAGGATCAACGTTCCAATTTGGAATATTAATCATAATTACTGTTCTTTTGGGTTGTTAAACGCTTCTATGCCTCATTTATTATTGGAGCAAAATAAAAAAAAATGTGTAACATATCCGGAATGCCAATCGCCCTGAGAGTATGGGAGAGCCATAAATACGAACAAATATTTCTAATTATAGGCAGTGTACTCTAACCATAACTACCTTATTATCGATAATATATTCATTTCCCCGAATTTCAAAATTTCAATGTCTAATACTTACTCAATAAACGAAAAACACCGATGTTGAACAAAACATTTGAGAACACGACTTAGTCACAATCTTTATTGCACTCAACAAAAATAACAGTTATATCAATCGTTACATGATACATATGTCCTATAGACAATGATATTACAGCAACAAAGCTTATTTACTGATAACGCACCTTTGACCCAACTCCACAAGGCCCGTTCAACGTTCTCATATTTTGAAAGCCGATTACGCTTCAAATGAGCAGTATATTTATCAAAATCCGTTGTAAGCCACTTTTTTTTTGCTATTAAAATTGCGGAGACGGTTTTTCTTTTGATTCTGTATTTCAACGCAAGTTTGTCATTTGTTGGTGTAGGCTTTTTCTCTTTGCCAAGACATAGTTGACGTTTCTTGGCTAAAGACTTTTTTTAGATATATATTATTAGGCATTTTATATAAACCAAGTGCTTTACACAATATTAATACTGAGTTTGATTCTTCTCGCCTATTACTATTAGGTGAAGCCATATTTCCATTATAGTGCGATTAATTCTGTTATGGACAATTCAGAAAAAAGCTACAGTGCGCGAAAAAAGTTTTTGGAATGACGTTTTATTAAGTGTGTAACGAAAAATAGTCGGAGAAACATAAAATTTTACAGATATCTTCTTTATAATACAACAAAACGTTTTACTTATTGCTGCTTAGTAGCTTATTTTATTACCATTTTCCTCAATTATTTCAGTCGGCATGCTACGAACTAAATTAACATAAGTGCTCCGGTCGATCTCTTCCACGAAAGACCTCAACTGTGATCGTTTGTTTTTTTACCAGCATATCATTCACTTGTTTTTCAACCCGGGTCTTTAAAATTTGCCATAAATTTTCAATCGGGTTGAGATCTGGGCTGTTTGAGGGCCAGTCCAACAATTTTGGACACTGCTGTGCAGGAAGCTTTTTTGTTTCTTTTAGCTGTCATTATCTTGTTGAGAGACCCAATTTTTACCCATAATATTATTCGCGTTTTCAAACAGATTTTCAGTTAGTATCTTTCGATACAAAGCACCATTCATGATATCTGTAAAAGGAAAAAGCCGATTGGACCTTTCACAGAAAACGCACCCCAGGCATGAATTTTGTATGGATGTTTTACCATAGCTTTACGGGGAGGTTGTGTACCAGAATTATAATACACTTTTCGGGTATTTCTGAACATTTGTATACTGGTTTCGTCAGAAAAGATAACTTTGTTCCAATTTTGTCGTCTGTATTTCACAGCAAATTCTAAACGGCATTCTTTGTGTCTATCAGTGAGAAGAGGGAACAGTCTTTGGGACAGTACAACGATATTGCAAATTATGAAGTTCGTTGAGCACTGTACGACTGCTGACGTTAAGGTCAGGATGATGCTTGTTTAATATGTTGCAGGTTTGGTGGAAGTAGAGTATCTGTTATTTGTGACCAGTTGACCAAGATGACGACGTTGATTAGGAGAGAGTTTTCGGATCTACCAGAACGTGGTTTAGGGTCCAAAGATTTTCCATTTTTAAATAATTATATCGTAGAAAGCGAAATTGAAGTTAATTCGTGTATAGTGTAGGCATTATGGGTACCATTTGCCCATAGAGTTGTTATCGTTTTGCGATTTTGATCGATCTGTCATTGTATTGTTAGTAAAGGAACGAAAAGTGTAAACAAAACAAACGAATTGCGCGAATTACAAAATAGTGCTATCGAGTTTTTTTATTTGTACTACATATGTAAGAATAGAGCGTACAAACCGTGTTAGATGACTTTTTTGATTAGACGCGTATTTCGGAAGAAAATCGTGTTTACTTGACACGCATTTCATTCCAAAAACTTTTTTCGTGCACTGTAATAACGCAATTTACTATAAAAATCCATTATAAAAAGCAATTTTTAATATTAGAAAAGAGAGTTCCGAGAAAATTTCTCTTATAATGCGATTTCATTATAACGTAGTCCTATTATAACGAGCGACTGTATATTTGATGTTTGCGACCAATGATAGTCAACCTGATTCTGATGACTTACTAGCTTGTAATACCGAAATCACAGGCGCATCGCACGTGTCATTGCTGTTCGCGATATACTGTAATACCAATCCACGCCCTGTTCATTTACCTCAACTTTTTTGAAAAATCTTTCGCTCAATCTCTGAAAAACCTTTTCGCATAACGTAGGCAGGCAAAGATGAGAAACCGTGTTTCGTCTTGGAGTGTTATCGTGCTTTTGCTGTCGTTGTTGTCGTTGTCGTTGGATAATGTTTATTTAGAATCCTAGAAACACAGGAGCGCGTCTCTGAAGTTCGCTCGCCGGTAGTCAAAATCTTTGTGGAGAAAGCGATGCCTCACATATTTACGTAACGTCCTGATTACGAAAGAGCAGAATAATACTAACAAAAAGCGTGCAACTCTTTTGCTTTCCATGTGATCTGCGCGTGGGGTTTCGTTCCTCAGCGCAGCATTTCACTGTTTAACAGTCGTAGGGTATTATTTCTTCATGAAATCTGCGCGACCTGTAAAGAGTATTTGTTATGGGGCGTGGGGTATCGTTCCTCAGTGCAGCATTTCACAATCTTTACAACTTAGAAATTATCATCACGGGTATCGAAAGACATATTATATTGAATGTACCACCGTCTTGATTGAGGTTTATTAACAATTTTTTATTTGTGTTTTAGAAACGACCGCCCGAAGAAAAAACTTTTTTGGAATAATGTCAAGATTGGAAAAGACTTAAGATAAAAAAGGTATTTATAAGCTTTGATAGATCTATTTTCAAAGTCAATAATATCCTCACCAACTAATTTTCTAGGAAATCGATAAGAAATTGCATTGGATGTGCTTGATATGCCGAAAAAAGACTGTAAATGTTATATTCAGTGGCAAATAATTTTGCAATACGCATAATAAATTTACATTGCTTATAATCATAAAGCTATTCACTAGTATGCAAGTGGTAATTTTATAATAGAGATACATAATTTGTATGTAAGAGAATACGTTAACCAATTCACTTCAGTGGATGTAATTGAAGAGTTCGCAAGCGTACGTATAGTAAAGTATTGATTAATTTTAAATGTTGATTCGTAAACCGTCAAATTGTATAATTAGCGTATCATTCTGCTTATCGCTTAAATCAAATCCTCTATAGTAAGAGGGGTAAATCGAAACTGCAGATCTGTTAATTTGAAATACCATGTTGTGAGAATATAAAATTCACTCTTTACTCACCAATAGAAGGATTATGGCTGCTAACGTATTCTGTAACGGTAAGTCAAAGCATATTTTTGTCTATTACACTATTTAATACTTTCGTCTTTCACTAACAGCGCGCTCGTTACAGTGTCTTTTTATTCGTCAAAGGCATTCCTAAGCTTGGAAGAACAACGGATCGAAAGTTCGTTCGTAATAGTAACCAGAACCGAAGCTGCTTGGAATCGGAGTTGAATTACTTCTTCATGACATGATACAACATGAGATTCGTTCTCACTTGCATGTCTGGTTATTCTACATTGTGTGAGAAATTGAAAAGGCGATTAATGTTTGTCACAGGGGAACGGTAAAAAAAATTTAGTTTGCTACGTCCTTGTAACGAGTCTGTGCTAAATTTACTGTAAATTATCAATCTTACCAACAGATGTGAATGACCATCACAATACCTGTGACAATACTCCCAATATCATTACATAATTCTCCTTAATCGCCCACATGCTATCATCGGGTCTATCAACAAAATCCTCGGGCCGTCTTCTTTTCTACTTGAACGTCTCTTCAACGAAATGCTTTGCACTTAGTCTAGGCAGGAAATTAAGCTAGCGAATTGGTGCCGTTGACGCGCTGGACATACGGCAGTGGAGACTGAGCTGACTGACGATGGAGCGAGAGAAGAGTTGTGACGAGCATAATTGTGTAGTGAAAGATTAAGCGGTGGGGATTGTTGGGATGACAGCGTGTGAGAATATTATGGAGAGTGGTTTATTTACAAAAATACCTAATGAAGACAATATGTTCATTATGCACAGTATATTGGTCAAAGTTGGAATTCAGATGCACATATTTCGAACACAGCTCTCCCGGAAGGTAAAGGGTAGGAATTTAAATCACGTCCCTCTAACATATTGATATTGGGAGACGTAAGGGAGGAACTTCTTCATGAATATAAGTAAGATTAGTTTGTATCAGGCAGTTGCCAACAGCGTGATGAGCTCTTGATATTCATCCACCCGAAACAAATGTCTCATAACTTCACTAACGTAGCCGCACTCTCGTCGCTTCCAACAACACTTACAACGGTAATGATAACAATATTAACTACAATACTTTGCAATTAGTCGTCTATCCAGATCGATGAATTCTTCTTTCATGATAAACAATATGATATGGTAGAGATGTGTCTATTGCAACGATTGGCACTTTGTGTAGTTCCACCGATTGAGGTATGATATATATTGTTGCTGTGTCGTCTCATTGCAATAATTAACGATATGTTGGTCGATCTATACTAATCTACTATAATTCTCGTGGCTAAGAGACAGGTAAATGAGCCGAAGTATTTAGATTGGTTCTGTTTCATTAAAAAGGGAGACTTGGCAACGTCAAGAAGAGACAATGAAACACACAAAGCTTCGAGTTGACCAACATGCAAAACAGATAGCGTATCGTGCATAGGTGTCGCTATCGTTCCGCCTGGCTCGTGAACATCCCTACCCTGATACCATTACAAGTAAAAGAAATAATACATTTATGGCATTCACCCAGTTTTAAACTCCGACATCCCGGTATTTTGATAGCAGTGGAGAGACACTACTTTACCAATTAACACGATACTCAGGATAATAATACGCTTGCCAAGACATGGAGAGAAGGGACAAGAGGTAGTTTATCATCGCTTTTTCACGTGACAAAAGCCAAGAGTTTAAACATTTATTTCATCATTCATAATCGCCAGATATGAATATTATATTTCATAATAAATATTGTCATAGTACTACCGTTACAACATTCAAGACAGCGCCACATCACATGATATGTTACATTAATATCGAAGTATGATATAGAAAGCGTGGACAATACCTACAAGAGGGAAAAGACATGACGAGTTAGAAACGTTCAACAAAAAATTGTATGTTATCATCGTAAAATACGTACCCGGTATGTATCCCAAGATTGTTAAAGCAATGTTTATCAACAAGTCGATAGTACATCCGACTTCCATAAGCACACCCAATGGTGGGAATATCACCGCGAAGAAGAATTTGAAGATATCAGAGCATGTAAGAGCCATGGCTTATTTTTTTGTTAGGTAATAGTTTGGGAAGGGTAGTTGATGCTTTGTTGAGTAGGTAGTTGACACTTTTTGTTGACAGTGCTTTCACTCTGCGAGCGTAAAGATGAAATTCCCCTGGGAAAACCTCATCTCTTTTATAACATCTGGCCGTCTGTCTATGACATTTTCTGATATCATCCGATAATCTAACTAGCATCAAAATGGGGGTTTGGGTTATCTGGATATATCAATGACCTCCTAATTAGGAAGTACCTTGACGCCAATGTAAGAACAAGTAACTTATTGTAATGACTAAGTAAAGGAATGCAAATCGGTAAATAAACCCCATATCATTTGCTCTCGGCATGGTAAACACATCTCTAAAATTCCTGTCGGCATCATATCCACGGGCCTTTTGTCATGTTGTGTAAAAGTGTTTAAGTTTAATTACCCAATTTAACGATAGTTCTGATATTCTATGTTGCTCAATCAATTCCGGTCGTACAATTGAACAATATTAGTGCAGGTCCGGCTAAACCCTTCCGATCATGACTTAACAAGTAACACACAAGTTGTCATAGCGCAGCAAGCAATCCAAATGGCGCAATAAGATAGTTTCACATTATTGCCTAATACAATACAAGACAATGACTTTGTGCAGAAAAAAAATTACTTGCCTGATAGTCAACTTTGTTGGCGCATCCGGTTATAAATATAGTAAACAGTAATAGTATCATGTTGAGCCACAACACTAAATTTGCGGCTATGTTAGTGTGTTTCAGTTCTTATCGTATTTTCAATAATTTTTACGTCACATTTTTGAATTTCAGTCACTCATCCAAACCCGGTCATCGCACAAGAGAAAATTCAGATTCCAATTGCAATAGTCAAAAATTAACAACGTTCGAAAAATTGATAAATCAAGCCAATGTCGTCATAGGTAACCATTGTTAAAACTCGATTAATTAGCCTTGCCCGAAAAATATAAACGCAACGTAGATTTCAGCTGGTTTCAATGTGTTCGTAGTGTTTGAGCCATTTCGTTTGATTCTTTCGAATTCCTATATTCTCCTGTTAATAAATGAGTATCTCATTTAAGACTTTATTGTGGACATCCGCTACACTGAACATGTACGTTTGAAGTCATATTCCCTGAGTTTATTCGATATAGCCGTTGAAAGTATATTAGAGTTAGCAGACCGCAAGCGTAGTATGTTATTGAGGTTATTTCAAAGAGAACAATTTTAGCGTAAAAGTATTTAACGCAAAAAATTGATACGATTTCCAAACGGTATATCATAAAATAGGAAGTGTCAATTGTTTTCTTGCAACAATTAGTATATACCGAGAAAATATTAAAAATATTTACATGTTGGTAATAAATGTTGCAAACTAAATACGATACTTTGGGAATTTACACTAGAACCCGAGTTTGATTGGATACGTTTGACGATATCTATGCAATGTGTTATTATAAGCCAAATGAGAGCAAGCGAGAAAAATGTGAGCATGTATTCTTATGCAACATAATGAACGTGTCATCCCAATAGCTAATTGTCTTGCAGTTAGCTGCGCATTACAAAATTTTAGGGACTATTCGCGCCAGCAACAATCTCCAATGCTCTAATACACGTAAGAAGCGGGAAAATACTCGGACTCAATTTACTTATCTAGTTAAATTTATAAAATTGATAACCAATTGGTTTGAACATCCAAAATTTTTAGGAAAATTTTTTTAAACAAGAATGGGAACAAATTTTACATGAAAAATATTTAAAGCTGGTTGATAGTATGCCTCAAAGGATAGAAGAATGTATTGCTAACAATAGTTGGTCAACTAAATAGACAAACATTTTTGAGAACTAGTCTTTCAAATAACATATAAATTGCAAAATAAATTGGGAACAAACTTTTGTCTAGTGAGAATATCTGAGATGGGATATAACTGGTACAAAAAAAAAGTTTGTTCGTAGGTCATTTGTTTTTACAATATTTAGAGATATAAACTGTACTGTATAACTATATATTATTAGTTTTACAAGTAATATTATAGGTGTTTCGGGAATTAAAAAAAGTATCTATTTTGCGAGTTATTATTATCGGTATTAGTTTTTCGGATATTTAATTGTTTATTTCTCAGATAACTTAATGTGTTATGTCAATTGTTTCAGTTAGCAAATCTATAATTACAGATTTAACTCTACAATACTAATAACATTTTCTTAATCGGTGCTAAACTGAGTGCGCGCATAAAATATTAATACAAGTTTGTATAAAGCCAGCCGTTTATGTGTACTTAATAGTCCGTGTCAATTTTTTGCACACACATTGGTAATAGTTACGCTTAACATACGTTTGAGCATTGGATTCTTGGTTGTTGGGTTATTAAAGACGAAATTGCGTGTTTGAAGAATCAAGTCAGTCGTTTATTATTGTGCATATTAAAATCGTACTTAATATTGGTCGTGTTTTAGTGATTGATGACGAAAATTAATTTCGCGTCTTCGACAAGCCAATCTCATTATATACAGTATATATAATTACCTCCCAATTTCTCAATACACTATAATAATACGAAGATAGCTATAAAAGAAGTTAGTCAGGAGCACGTCTCTTCATGATTAATAATGCAACTTGTTACAAGATACCGTGCAATGGGAGCTTAAATGGTAATGTAGCTGTTACATATTACTGGCAGCCAAGAACAGTTGATACTTACGTAAACTCTTGGTAGTTGTTGTAACGGCAAGTTGTATTTCAAAGCATATAAGAAAAACTTTAACGGTCTGTTAACAGAACAGTCTCCGATTTTTTGCTTTACCCATTTACGTATATATGTACTAATTATGAACCTTCCTCTTCTCTTTTTTCTCGAGAACTGTTGCTCTAATAAACAAAATAGTGATAATAAAAAAGTTTTTTAAAGTCAGAACTATTCACCGTTTAGTTTTCTCTTGCGTGTTTCCAAAAACTGTAAAAAACCAGCTCTCAAAAGACGCTTTATATGAGCTTTTACTGCTTGAGACAGAAAACACTTGCAAAGATATTAAAGCTCCTACGTGTAGTCTAGTAGTCCAGAGCCAACAGTGTATTTTTCTTTATGAGGTGAAAAGCTATGCTAGTGAAAACCATTGTAATCACCCAATCACCCACTAATATGAACCAAATTCACTATTACTATCGCTATCAATTTTAATTTGGGGCTGAGTTTTGTTTTTTTTTTTGCCAATAATGATCGGTTATATTAGTTGAAAAAGGACTTTGTTTTATTTTCATGCAAATTTTTTTCCTTCCCACACACATTCAGCAAGAAATGACAGAGTCAGTTCCGGCAACACAACCTTCGCCACTCAACTAAAAATGAAACCCTGCCAGAGTGGGGTAACTATAACTGGGGGAGATATTAAAATGTCACGCTAACTTAATCTACGCTGAGAGGTGAAAAAAACCTTACATGTTTATAGTACATAGTCAGCAAAATGCCTGGGTCCAAAAGCGAAGGCTCACAGTTCAGCAGCTGATAGTTGAGTAGCTAACAGCAAAAGTGTAAAATTTGTTTACTTTACAGATACAGTCGCACCTGTCTATTTGCATAACGTATATTTGCATATTCTGTTCATTTGCATAAAGGAGCCCCAGTCCCTTATTGGGACCTATTAGCTATTTGCATAATGTGAACGTGCATATGCATCAAAGGTGGACCCTAACTCTAGTAGATCCGACCAACGTATATTTGCATATGCATACTACAAAAGGAGAGATCAACCAGATTAATCTAAATTATATTATTATTGTGGCGTAAAAAATTACCAAATACACCACTTCATTAATTCTTTTTTGCTTTTTAACAGATTTGGTAATTTCTCCATCATAAAATGATTGCGATAACGTATTGTATGAGAGGACATAATAATAGTATCAAATCATGTGATAACGTATATTTGCATATTCTGTCTATTTGCACAAAAATCTACCGGTCCCGACAGTATGCAAATAGACAGGTGCGACTGTATGGCACGCGATTGCTTACTGTTCAACAAGTACTACATCAGCTCCTGCTCGGACGCTTCCGATCCGAACATTTCCACGTGATCCGAACATCCGAGCTTTTTTCTGTGCCATGGCTGAACCATGACGCGCACACCAGAAGCAATGTTGTGGATTCGTTTCGAGAACCAACCAAACGCACTCAAGTACAGAGCCAAACCTGAGGACAGCGATATTGCCGATCTCGCCTGCCGTCTTATAGAGGAGAACAAAAGGCTCAAGGACGCCGCCCCGGACAACATCCAGTTCCTCCTCAATGATCAGCTACAGAGGCCGGCCACTCACCTCGTGGATATCGAAACAACTGCCACGGCACCGCTCATTATAAGATACCCGCTGTCGGAGAAGATAGGTAATCTGAAACCGACCTTCTTTTTAATGCGAAAAAAAAAAGCTTTGTTCACTCACTTTTCTCGGTTATAGTCATAATTCGATGTTTCTTCCAGCAGTCTCTCTTGTTCGAGCACCAATTTCAGCATTCAACTGGTATTTGGGATCAATTGTGTGCTCTCGTTCGCGAGAATGAGGACCAGCTGGAAGAAATCGATAAAAGTAAAATTTTCTTCTGTACCACCGGCAAGAAACACAGAGGGCAGGAACTCACGAACATTTTCGAATTGAACCATTTCTTGAGTCGTCTTCCTGCGGACGATCATGAGGTCGGGGCAAGCTTGTCAGTGCGTATTAAAGGTTTGTTCCCAAATTTGGACCGATGATCGTACCCTAATAAATAAGGAATTGAATTTCTTCTTGGATTATTATCAGCTTTTTATCGAGGTGTCCTTTTTTCGCATGGGAATGAATACTTAAAGTATTTTCATTATTGGCAGGGCGAAAGTCATACTCAGAGTGGAAATTTTATGACATCACTAAGACCATCTTCGGAAAAGGGTTCGACGACCTAGGAGACTTTCCACGTTTCGACCCAGGTACGGTCCTTTGCGTTTCCTACATTGTTTCTGATATAGTAATAGTTCTTGTCCATTTCTGTGATAGACGAAATCCCTAAACCAACCAGCGAGATTTGCACGGAAACCGTGAACGGATTTTTCGTGGAAATCCGGAGAAAACTAAAAGCATTTCGTGCAATTGATAACGAGCTTGTTACTCGAGAGTTTATCTCGCCATTCCTGACGACAGCAGTGGAATGTGTACAAAAGAATGAGCCGTCGCTGCTGCTCCGTGCGGAAAAGCCTCTGGTAGGAAGCCGCGGGTATGGTCCCGTGGATTTCTCTGTTGAAAAAGATGGTTTGATCATTCCGGTTACAGAAGTGAAAAAGGAACAGTTTGAGCAAGGAGCTGCCCAAAACCTTGCTCAGTTGCATAGTATGGTCGAGGTGAGGAAATTTTACGTTCAGACTTGTTTCAGTTTTATTAAAAATATTTAATTCATTGCACCTTTTACACCTTATTTTTTCAAGACGTTGGAGAAAAAACGCAAACTCGATTATACAGACTTTGAAGATGATCATAATCTTCCAGTCATCGCATATGGCATTGTGACAAATGCACGTGAGTGGATGTTTCTCCGCTGGGCGGGTGACTCTTCGAAACCAACAGTTCAGCACACCCCACAACTCCCTTGTCCGTTCGATGGCGATCTTTCTCGTGCAAAGGCCATTCTGGAAAAAATTGTTGGAATTCTTGATTCTCAAAACATTGGCTTGAATGATTCTTCTAGAAGAATGAAAATTAAAAGATGCCGCATTGATTGATGATTGTTGTCTCATGGATAATAATAATAATAATAATAATAATAATAATAATAATAAAGTCTAACCGGGTTTTTATTAAAAAAAGTAAAACCCAAACAGAACCAAAAAGTTGGGCTGATTTCAAATTTATATATTTAAGGCTGTTTATTATTATTGGATTAATGATTTTATCTATTGAGTATGCAGAAAAAAAACCAAACTGCGACATAAACTCAACCTCTGCCAAATCCATTCAGCTAAATATTCACTTTGTTGGTTTTGTTGCAGCACGCCCCATATGTGCTGGAGACTTTAATACTACAACCCAATTTCATGACAGATGGTCATCCCAACCTTTCTATCTAATCTTCTTTTTCCCTCTCTTTTCCCTAACATGATTGACCTTGTTGGATCACTACCTAGTTCCCCTCATTATACTCTTGTCAGAAACAACATCTTGTATACTTTTAAATCTCACATTGATTATATACAGTATACAACAGCATATGCAAATGAGTTATAACTGAATAATTACTAAGCAATATGAGACCAAGACATAATAAATCATTAATATTAAGCATTGGGAAAGTTAAGAGAACGACTTGAATCACTAAATTTGTAGGGGTAATCGTCCAAATTCCCATCCCGATTAAAATATGTAAAATTTACATAAAGTAGTGAAACAGTGCGCCAAGAGCTAGTACCTCGTTTGGCTCCCAGTATTGCACATAAATAACGATATCCTTCTTATGGCCATGGAAAGGTTTTGATGATTTTTACATCTTCATCGTCTGCTTGGTTGGCGGCGAATGCCATGTCCATGGCTCGCGCCCATGCTGCAGGGTCACTGCCGGTGAACATAGGGTAATCTGTGTATAACCATTTCGATGGGTTGTGCTTGTATCGGAGGATTGGGTAGTAACAGAGGTAGTTGTACTAATACTTGATTGTCGTCTTCGTGTTTATATCACAGCTTTCTTTCAAAAAATTGTCTGGGCCTGGATATGGAATACGAGGCTGTTGGACATGACTCGCATTTGGGTATACCGTAACATCCGCTGCAATTAATTGGCCGTTTCCAGATGGACTAAAATAAACTGAGAAAAAATATTAATTTCAAAGGACAATTATGGATCAAAAAGTCAAATAAGTTAAAAGAATTACTTACATCCATCAGTTCCTTCAGGATCGTCAAAGCCTTATCTACGGGCTCACGGAGAGAATTAACAAATGAAGAATTCCTTTGTTGGAATTTTCGGAAATCAGCAACTTCAGCCCTTAGTTGCTCATAATGGTTTTCTTCTACTTCTTCAGATTCTTCTGCCCTTCTTACGATTTTCTCGATCACTTGGGAAATCTCTTCTATCCCCCGTGAAATGGCCTCTATATTTCGTCGAGGTTGATACATCCTTATTACATCAACTAGATTTGCAAGAGTTCATTAACTGTAATATATCATACTGAGCAACGAATTGGCTTTCTAGAGAAATGAGCTAGCTATCAATTCGTCCTACTTCCACTCTCAAGTGCCACCATGAATTCTATAAAACGCGTCAATTTCGTGGATGATATTTTTTGCGCTGAAACCTGCGTAGAAAGAAAAGTTAGTAAGACTATTGCGGGATGTGTCGTGAATGTCTCTGCAACTTATCTGAACTCGAATAAACTCGAGAACGCCTCTTACATTCGTTTTGTGCGTTGCTCGCAGATAAAGCTCGGTCTTCTGTCTGATTTTTGTATTTGCGTTATTGAGCTCGTTCTTTACGTTAGCAAGTTCTGTCAGCGCTTTTTTTGGTTTTATCTTTATCGCGTTTTGTTTCGTCCTTTTCGAGCAGGACCATCTTAACGCGTTATGAAGTGGAATAAGGTCAAAGTTTTTGCTGAATGCAACAGCATTTTCGTTAGGAAATATCCGCCACTGCAACGATCGGAATCTATAATTTGTATCTTAGATCGGCAATAAAATTTCTAATTACTACTCCTAAAATTAATGCTGCGGACTGCTAAGAGAAATTCTCTGAAATTTCTGTCGGTGAGCTTGACTGCTCTGCCTATTTATAGCTTTTGGTGTCGCTTCAGATGCTTCCAATATTTTGGTCTTAGTCTTATTAATATGTCGCATTATCTAAATTTCTATCCATATTATTTATATTATCGCCTGAATCTCCGCCTGTATTACAGTCAAGACTGGATATAACGATACTCCCGTTAAGTTACATTTTTATCGTTATAGCGAGTTATTGTTAATACCAGGAATTCTATTTATAGCGATAACATAATAGTTACGAAAAAAATATCGTTATACCAGATATTATCTATCTTGTTCAATACTCGGTTTTATTGAAGAAAAGATTCGGTGATACTACAAACTACATTCTGATAACAAAACCGTCTAGCATTGACTGCTTCTTGTTATTGGCGTGATGCATTAACACTTGTTCGTAAGGAGCGTACCGTTAATACAGTACTTGCATCGCGCAATTAAAACCTGCGCATCGTATACGTATCGTTATATGTAATAATGAGGTTTTAATAGTAAAAATTGGTATAACCAGGTGAAATTAAATAAGAATGTTTTGGTAATAACAAATTTTATCGTTAGATCCAGTTATCTCTATACAGCAAAAACTCTCTAAATGCACACTCTATAAATGCACGCACTATGTTAAGTGCACAGTCTTGCAAAGTCCCAGCTTATAAGAGGTCTTATATTTTGCCGTCTATAATGCACACCCTCTCTAATGCACACCCTCTCTAATGCACACCCTCTCTAATGCACACCCTCTCTAATGCACACCCTCTCTAATGCACACTTCGCTATTTTTTTACTATGATCCCAAGGGAGGTGTATTTAGAGAGGTTTCTCTGTATAGAGATATCGGAGGACTTGAACTTGTGTAGCCGTACACAATAGTTAATCTCTATGCTGATAAAAATAACTGGTGCTACTCGTAACTGTATAAAAAAAAGACTACATTACGCGAGTTGCAAGTATAGTTAGAGAATATTATGGAAAAACGAAGTTTCATGTTAACCACAATCAATAACTGTTGTAGCATATTGACGACTCGCCCACGGAACACGAACCGCACCAACAGGGGTTCGACACATTTCGTTTTGACTTTAACGCGAGCGAGTTTTTTCCCAAATGGTTTAATTAGTGGTTTACTCAACAATACAAAAAACAGGTGGACAAAGCACCAATTATTCACTATGGAAACGCTAATTCAACAGGTGTTCCGAACGAGACCCATTACTAGAATTGTAAAACAGTACAGCGGTGCGTGTATGTAAAAAATTGACCCCGAATTAAGTACGACTGGGTTGGCTTGATTCTCGAAGACACAAATCCATTTTTGTTGCCAATCACCACAATGACACAGCAACCAAAATTTAATGCTTATAAATTTACGCATTTGTTAAGCGTAACCGTTGTCTCTGTGTGAGGGAGGAAAATTGATCCAGAATCTCAAGTACGATTATTATGTGAATTCATCGATACAACTATCCGTCGCAAAGTTGCCAAAACGTTATTTATCATAAAAACCAGATTCTAGAGATCTAAGCTCTCAATGTCTGCTCGTTATTAATAGTAAGTCTTTGCGTTTAAAGCAGAAAGTAACGGTCAAAACTTAATTTTGGTATTCTTAATTCCTCAATATATCGATCCATAATACTAGTATTGCCTATTTTTTTATCTTTTACTGGAAGATAACAATGAGAAAGAAACTCTTATCAGAAGGCAGAACCAGATTATTATTATTTTTAACTGGCTAATTTTATACGTTTAACGCAAATAAATTTAAAGTTAAAGTATATCAAACATGGTAAGCTCATTTTAAAATATCTACTTTTATATTGTCAAACATGTTTTCGTGTCTTGACTTGAGACTTTAAGAAATTGTTGAAAACTCAATCTAACCCTCATAATTTATTTATAAAGATGTAAGATTGCTCACAGTACATACATGTAGTTGTCTTACTCAATTAACATTCTACAACAAACATACCAGATGCTCACTTCTTAAAACATTATGCACATGTGACTAATTTACATCAATAAAAAATTAATTTGATTAACTCTGTCAATTTAACAATGCAAGTAGACTAATGAGTATTGAGTCTTTGAACCAATTATTTATCGTAGGCCCCTGGGTTGGTAGGGCCCTTTCCCGGTGGGGTAGGATCGCAGACCAAGAACCCTTGGCGTTTATAACAAGTCTCGTTGGGGCAATTTTGCATACTTAGTAGTCGATAATTTTAGAAATAAAAATTTGGTAAGTACGAGACGAAGTAAGTTATATCCTTAGTGGTAACATTAAAAAATTTACAACTATTAAAATTTTTTTTCTCTCTCTTTACTATTCTAATTAATATAGAATTACCTAACATTAACTGGGAGTGGAGTTGCCATAATGGCAGTTGCAAGTGCAAGAACGGCGAGGGCGATAAGAGTTAAACAAATTAGCTTGGTCATTTGTTGAATATTTGCAAGACGGTTTTTATTTTAGAGTAGATATGGATTGGGGGTGTGACAGGAAGAGGGAAAAACCAAGCGACAAAGAATGTGAGTATTTGATACTTGTGTTGTCGACTAAGACTCAAGCTCAGTCAAGAAAATTTCCGTGTTATCGACTAAGATTCAATGACCATCAGAAGAATATTTGTGTGCATATTTATACATTCTGTTTAATATTATAGTTGCGTTTTCTTATCCAATAGCTGACGGACAAAGTAATAGTGCTTATTAGCTGTCATACATAAGATATTTATTAATAAGCCGTCTACATTCCCTTTCCCATCATTTGTGATACAAATTTAAGGTATTAGATTGCGAGGAACTTTATCCACATTTAATATATTAGTGAGATTTGAAAACTGACGGGTCGGGATGTGGAAGAGCAGCGTTAACAATCTTGATATATTAAACTTGTCTTTGGAAGTAGTGATTGGTGAGCCTTAATAAATTTTAAGCCATAATTGGTCGAATTATATGCAGGGTACACAAATTACCGTGTAGT